TTCACTGGATAAGTCCTTCACCTCCTTGTTTAAATTTATTCCTAGGTACTTTATTCTTTTAGTTACTATTGTAAATGGAATTGTATTCTTGAGTTCTCTTTCTGTTAGTTCGTTATTGGAGTATAGAAATGCTACTGATTTTTGTAAGTTGATTTTGTACCATGCAACTTCGCTGTAGTTGTTGATTATTTCTGATAGTTTTCCAATGGATTCCTTAGGGTTTCCTATATATAAAATCATGTCATCTGCAAACAGTGGGAGTTTCACTTCTTCATTGCCAATTTGGATTCCTTTTATTCCTTTTTCTTGCCTAATTGCTCTGGCCAAAGTTTCCAGTACTCTGTTGAATAAGAGTGGTGATAGTGGGCATCCTTGTCTTGTTCCTGTCCTCAGAGGGATGGCTTTCAGAAAAGAAAAACATTTTAAATGCAGGTGTATTCACCGTCAAGTTCTATCAAAACCCATCGTGCCCAAACCGTAGTGTGCTGTGTGTCCATCAGCGGGGTGAGCAGGCAGATGCAGAAACTGTTAGAAGACATCTTGTATTATCAATGGGCACGAAGTGTCTTCTGAAGAATAACTTTTTCAAGAAATGAAGCTGATCAAAAACTTGCCGAGACACAATGTGACCTGGAAAATTGCATTTGAATCTCACGGTGGTTGTGGAGGCAGATGCCTTTTAGAGCCTGGATTTTGGGCATGTTTTGGAAATATGCATGAGTCAAAAGGCTTGAAGTTTCTATCTGATTAGAATTTAGGTCACAGCCACTCTGTCACTAATCTGAGTTCTTCCCATAACCACAGAGTTGGTAGTGGTTGCCAGTTTCTGATCTTGTGGGGACATAAGGAAAATACTGGATACATCTAATAAAGTTCCTGACCCACTAGGATTTATAGTACAGGTCTGCGCTACTCGAATAACAATATCCTCGTTGATCTTAGAGGAGAAAAGGAATAAGGGGTCTGGAAAACTCCACAAAAGCCTGGATGCCATGGAGGTCTGGACTGTGTATGTTCACTGCTGCAGAAGAGGAAGAAAAATCACAATAACCTAAAAACAGATGTCTTTTTCTGCCTTGCCCAAGATTTTCAATATCAGCGATGATGTTACCAGATGTGAACACACACGTCTCTGCCCCACTCAAACCACACACAGTCAATTCTCATTATTCACGGCCTTCCGTTCTATCGAGTTCCCACAGACACTGGATTGGCAAATACTGAAGCGTCATGTCTGGGGAAGTACAGGGTCAGGTTCCTGGGAGCCTCTGGTCACAACATTCAGTCAATCGATCAACATACAGCCTTGTTTTATGTGTATTTCTATTTAAAGCCATTGTATTTAAGACACTGTATTGATTGTTGGTTCATTAACGTTGAACTCGGGGCCAACAGTACTCGTTGTCACCCCTGAACACAGCATTTGACATTCGTATTTTCCCCGTCAGGCAAAGCTCAGCCTTCCTGCACGTAGGAACACTGGCCCGCACTTCAGCACTATGCTTGGGGCACTGGAAACAGTAAAATCACCACCAACAGAAAAAGGCACAATAATGGGGAAACGGGGCACTCGACAGATGGTGACAAGAAGGCTTGTTTGTAGTGGGAGTGCTGACACAAGGGGCAGGGGGACCCTTGGTGGGACCTCGCTGGGACCATGTACGCTGAACACCTCCAACCTTCACTCGTCTGCCTGTGTCTGCAAACGACTGTGAAAGTGCCATGGGTACTGATTCGGGGATTACAAGTAAATTTAGCAAGTGGGCAAATTCACAAATATGGAATCCATGAATAGTGAGGATGGACTGTACTTTGTTCATGGAACTCTTTCTGGAAGATACGAATTACACACCATTGCTCTGAACTTGCATGTCAAGAATCTGAGGAGCGAGGTAAATTGCAGAGAAAAAACAATCTTCGGTTTTGGGAAAATAAATTTGGGGGTAAATTTTAATGTGCTAGTGATGATCAATGGTGACTTTCTAAATGAGCAATCAGTAAGGGAGGTAAATGTTTCTTTAAGATTTCTTGTGTAGTCATTAGTAAAGCAACTTAATAAAAATTACATCCAACAGCTTTCTTCTAGACATTCTCCAGTGCCTTCTTGTTTTCACTCAATAGGTGGATGCTGTGTGTTTCAAACATGGCAGCAAACAGAATGTGCATATTAGTTGACGTTTCTTCTAAATTTCTCTGTAATATCCACCTACATCATCTCAACTGAGTGCATACTATTCCACTGAGCTGTCCGATATTTTGATTGCTTCCAATGTTTGCTATTATAGATAGCTCTACTATAAACGTTTTTAAAGAAAGTTTTCCTTTTAACATTGTCTCCGAGGATAAACTCTGAAAATGGATAGAGAGAGAGAGTCCCCTGATTGCTGTAACGACATCAGCTGGGTCCTTTGGAGATGCTGGCAGGCTTCTCCCGGGTGGTTCTGTGTTGCTGGTTTTATTTCTTTAACTTGCTAAATTAAAAGGTGTGAAATTGTATCTCATGGTTGTCTTGGTTTGCATTTACTTTATTACTCTGAGGATGAAGAGCTTTTTCATTGTTGATTCTGTCATTTCCTTAGTCAGTCATCAAGCCCCTAGCGGCCCAGGTCAGACACTGTCTCTGCCCTCGGGGGACCTCACCTCTGCCTTTGCTTTCACACAAATGCCTGTTAAAATTCAACCAACTGCCGATGGAAGCTTGTGTCATCTTTTTAGCTTTGAATAAGCACCTTATTTATTTAAATTTAGACAATAAATCTTTACCTGTCATATTGCTGATATCTTCCCAATTCAGTTTTTCCTCAGTTTTGATTGAATAATTTTAATTTTTACATAGTTGTAAATAATCATATTCAAAATATTTAACAATTTGCAAGATAAAATATTAATATGCAATGTAGTAAACCAAAATATTTATCCAAAATATAGTTAACATTCCTTTTATTTGCCAAATTAACTCCATCCTAAAATATTTGTAAGTGATATATTATGGAGAAAAAGAATCACCAAAATATTCTAGAAATTTCCAAGTCATTTGTTGATTGTTAAGATTGCTGCTGCTGCGATCCGGTTGCTGGCGCTGTGACCCAGCTAAGTGACACCCTGTTCAAGCCATGTAAAAACCACACCGATGGGTTCGTATCCCTTCGTGGTTGCTGTGGGGCTGGTTTATTTCAATTCAAGATGCCCCAAAATATTCATTCTGGGGCTGGCCCCGTGGCCGAGTGGTTAAGTTCGCGCGCTCCCCTGCAGGCGGCCCAGTGTTTCGTTGGTTCGAGTCCAGGCCGCGGACATGACACTGCTCATCAAACCACGCTGAGGCGGCGTCCCACATACCACAACTAGAAGGACCCACAGCGAAGAATATACAACTATGTACCAGGGGGGCTTTGGGGAGAAAAAGGAAAAAATTAAATCTTTAAAAAAAAAAAAAAACCACACCGATGACTTCACCATTACACAGACACCCCCGAAACTTCCCGGGTCTGTGCTGCAGTGGAAGCTCTGCGGCGGGCACCCACCTGGATGCCCGTGGCCCCCAGAGGTGGGCCTCCGTTGCTGCCCCGCTCCTCTAGTCCATTCCCACCACCGTGGCCTTTGTGGGTGACATCGTTAGACAGCTGACCATCTCAGTGAAGAGGTAGCTTCTCTTTGCCACCCGATATGAAACATTTCAGTACTGGAACACCCAGAGCGGCTCCACCAGTGTGTACCAGCTGACCAGCAGCCCCGGCTACCCCGTAGTAAGCACTGTGTGTGAAACGATTCTTCAGAAACGTGACTGTCGCAGATCTGACACCTGCTTCGATGACAGATCCTGTGCATCCCCAAATACTCTAGATGGTCAACTTGGCAGAATGTGGGAACACACTGGAATCACCCTTGCACGCTCCCCATGGGAACTCTGCACACACGGGCTAAATAGCTAACTAAATAAACAAACCCCAAAGTCAGCTGACGAGAGCGTTTGGAGACTGCAGGCAAATTTACGCCATCGCGTTTATTCAACTGTGAATACTGAGTTACTCTTTCTGGCAATTAGACGACCGATAGATTCAAACCCCCTTAAGGCCAAGTCATGGCTGGAAGAACCTAGAAGGTGACAGTGACGGAGAATTTTCTCTCTGCCCCCTCCCGTCCCCCACCCCGACCGTCTCTACTGTCTTCCAGGGAACGTGCGAACAAGGAAATGGGATTGCTTCTTGAGAGTAAAGCTGTCGAGTCTGTGAAGAAACATTTTCCAAAATTCAGAAATGAGGCGGAAAGACGAGTGTGCCCTTCCAGTGTCGCACTATCGCACATCTAAAAGCTTGCCCAGCTTCACCTGACACCGTAGGCAAAGGTCAGGTTTTTGATTTACTGTTGCTTAGGGCCCAGACTCCACGAAGCTAGGTGTTCACTTAGAATGATAAATGAGAGAGGATTTTTTCTGGTAGAAATGCAAGCTATTTGATTAAAAAAATAACCCCAAGTTTATGCCTTTATTGTCTGTAGGGCATTAGCCAGGTTTGCATGTAACTTGGCAACACTATTTCATTCTTTCTCTCACTGACTGTATATATTCCTGCATTCTTTAAATCAGATTTTTCAGCCCTGTTTCCTTCCATGGGTTAATTAAAGATTTGACACCTGCTCGCTATGTATGTGTATGAGATTCACATTGCTAACTTTTTCAAAATTAGCTTTGACACCCATAACCTCATGGGTTGCAGTGGAGATGGGCAAAAACATCACCAAAGAGACAGAAGGACTTCCAGACACGGCTGACAGATTGACAGTGGTGACTTGCCAGCATTAATTTGATCACCTGTCAGTTAGGAAGGGGAAGCTGGTGGGTCAGCAACGGAAGCTCCATAAGTAAGTGTCCACCCGTCTGCGTGCTGACCGGGGAATGTGGGGTCCCTCGGCAGGTGTATCCTACGTCTTCAGCAGGTAACCAGCCTGATGCACTAACACGAAAGCCCTACCTTGAGCTCCTCTTTTTGCATGTCCATGCTCACCTATAAGTTCTGGACTACAAGCCGGCTTCCCAGGCGGGCAGATGGTTCACTCGTCAGGCCCACACACGTCGCCCACGCAGCTGGGGGTTTCCTTATTCACTGAAAATTAATAAGTTGTCATTGGCATGTGATTTTACATCCTGGCTCTCCATGGAACCTGACAGGGCATGTCTGTGCTGGGACTCAAATCTGCTCTGGTTCTCCCACTGGCTCACGTTTCTAGGCCGCCGGCTGTGGCCACCCCAGATCGTATGCTTCCTCCAAGGCACGTGCCAGCTGCTCAGAACTCTGACACGTTTTTGGTCATTTGCTGTTAAATTTCCAATCCCCATGGCCAATGCTTTTATAAAATTTAACAAAAATATCCAGAAAAATGAAATTTAAAAAGGTCATAGAAAATACAAGCCCATTTTTTAATTCTTAGATTCAGTGGAATCCAAATTACTCTGTAATATACACAATGTAGAAGTTCCTTTTAAAAGCGTGAGCGTTTCTAAATGCTTGCTTCCAATTTGTGTGCTCGTCTCAGGTCCAGGGAGCCGTTCATCTGGGAGCTTGTTAGAAATGTGGATTCTGGGGCCTCACCCACGGCCCCTGAATCAGAGACTCTGGGGTGGGCCCAGCAGACTGTGTTAACAGGACTCCCACGTGATTGTGACGCGGGCTCGATTTTACGGGAATCCCTCACCCGGGGAGCGGATACGTCAGAAGTCGTGAGCCTGGATGTCAGACGGGCTGGGCAGCTACAGAAACGCAGTCTTGACGAGATGAGGATCATGAGGAAGGGTGGTTCCCTGGCGAACTGTGGCCTGGAGGGCCCACATGGAAGCATTCGGATCCAGACACACACACACCTCTGGTCAAACAAACCTCTACGGGAGAGTGGGAACCCCTGGTCTATTACCTTTTCTAAATGTGGATTTATAGTAATCTGCACTTTGATAAAGTGATGAGTCACTTTTGCCTGACAAGTGTTTCAGCTCAGATCATTGTATATCAAATCCTAAGAGTAGGAAGGCTTATTCTTGAGGTCTTTATTCTGTCACAATAATCTGCTTCCATTTTTAATTCTGTATCATTCTATTTTGAATAGTGAGATGTTCAAATACATTTTTAGTCATCCTTGAGTATTTCTTTTTCCTTGATAATTTGAAAGTTAATTCTTACCAATTAGTTTTAGAATAATTTTGTTGTATTCCATAAAGTGTCCTAACAACATTTCAGTTGAAACTGTTAACTATGGGTTAACTTTTAGTTAACTATTACTTCACTTGGTGATGAGTTAGAAAAAAGCAGGCTCTGGGTTCCCATCCCGGCTCTCGGCTGGCCCACTCTGTGACTCTGGCAGGACCCTGAGCGGCAGCCGTGACTGGGCACCAGCCACGCCTGCCCCTCAGGCCACTCAGGAATTAATGGAACAATGCGTTCAAATCACCCGAGAGCTCGCACGTGCTTCAAACGTCACTGCCTTTCCCTTCCTCCCGTCCCCAAATGCTAAAGATCCTCCTCTTCTCTGTCGCTTAACAGTCTTCTTTATTCCAGGAGAGAAAGAAGTGAGCAACACAGCAGTCCTGAAAGTGATACCTTTTCCCTTTGGACTGCTTGTCTACGACCTAATTATTTCATAGATAGTATTTTTATTACTATGATTTTTGGGTGAGTTGTACTCAGTCATAAAATGTGATGTATGATGATATAATTCCTGATTTCTTAGTTCTTATGGCAAGTCTCCGTGTATTCAAGTAGAGAATACATTTTTATGACTTCTTATGTGTCTGAGAGAAATTTATTTTCCACAGCAACAAAAGACAAAAATAGATAAATTAGACTACATGAAAATTTAAAACTTCCGTGCATCAAAGAACACAATCAACAGAGTGCAAAGGTAACCTATGGAATGGGAGGAAATATCTGCAAATCCCATAAGGGGTTAATATCCAGAATATATAAAGAACTCCTACAACTTAATAACAAAAAACAAACAACCTGATTAAAGAATGGGTAAAGGACTTGAATACACTTTTCTCCAGGGAAGATATACAAACGGTCGATAAGCACATGAAAAGATGCTCAATGTCACAAAGCATCAGGGAAATGCAGATCAAAACCATGAGACATCACCTCGCACCTGTCAGGATGGCCATGATCAAAAAGACAAGAGACAGCAGGTGCTGGCGAGGACGTGGAGAAAAGGGGAGCCTTGTGCACTGTTGTGGGAATGTACAATGGTGCAGCCACTATGGACAACAGTGTGGAGGTTCCCCAAGAAATTAAAAATAGAGCTACCATGTGATCCAGCAATCCCACTTTGGGTATATCCCCAGAAGAACTGAGAGCAGGATCTTAAAGAGATGTTTGTACACCCACGTTCATAGCAGCATCACTCACAATAGCCAAGAGGTGGAAGCAACCCATGTGCCCAATGATAGATGAGTGAATAAACAAATGTGGTCTATACACACAATGGAATATTATTCAGCCCTCAAAAGAGAGGAAATCCTGCCACATGCTACATGATGGATGAATCTTGAAGACGTTAATCTAAGTGAAATCAGCCAGTCACAAAAAGACAAATACTGTGTGTAAATATACTGTATATAAATACTCAGATGAGGTCCCTGGAGGACTCAAATTCATGGAGACAGAAAGTGGAATGGGGGTGCCAGGGGCTGGGGGGAGCAAGGAATGGGACACTAGTGTTTACTGGGGACAGAGTTTCAGTTTGGGAAGATGAAGAGAGTTCTGGAGACGGATGGTGGTGGTGGCTGACGACAATGAGAATGTGCTTAATGCCACTGAACTGTGCCCTTGAAAAGGGTTAAGATGGTAAATTTTGTGTTATGTGAATCTTACCACATTTAAAAAGAAAAAGCCTCAAAAAACCCCAAGATGTTTAATTTTCCTTTCTCTACCCTTAATCTTGATATGAATCATCATTCTGCCTTATTGTTGGCACCACTCTTGCTTCAGTTCCACCTAAGGCCTGGGCTGGGAGGGCCCGAGCCCCGGGGAGGGGCGGGTTCAGCGTCTGTGGGCTCGTCCCGAGAGTGGCTGGGCCTCAACACAGGTGAGGCCAGGAGAGGACCTGAAGTACGCTGCCGAGATGGGGAAAGTCTCCCCGAGGAGCTGGGACACAGTCCTTGAAGGTCGGTTCCGGAGTAGAGGTGGTTTCTGGGGCTGACAGGGCGCTGGGGGCTGGAGAGTCCATCTTCCTTTCCCGGCTCCCCGGCTGCAGCTGAGGAGGTTCACCGGGACCTGCCGGCCTTTGCTGACGAGGGATCTGGATGAGCCCCCAGTCCCCACCGCATCGCCGATCCTGTGGCATCGGCAGGAGCCTGGAAGGCACAGCTGACAGCGCCCAGGGCTGGAGGGAGGGCAGGCCACGTGCCGGGCCCTGGCAGCACCTCAGGAGCCCTCCCGGGGCAGAGGCAGCCCGCCTGGGGGCTCCGCAATGACAGGCAGGTATTCGAGGCGCTCCTCCCTCTCTGGGCGGTTTTCATTCTGACAAAGGGCCTCCCGGCACCCTTTGTGTCGTTGTGTTTGTTCCACTGGGGTTTTGCTGAGCTAGTATTTTAACCATCTTCTTTCCTTTTTCAACGAGTGCTCTTTTTAGCTTTGTTTCACGTTGCCTCCTTGTATTTTTCACTGTTTTTCAATGGGATGAGGAGGTACAGAAAGAGTTACGAGCCCATGCCGCTCCCCCCTCTCCTGGCTCCGATGCACATCTCTGTCAGTCCCAGCCAAACCCAAATGCAGGGGCGGTTTCTACCCCGAAAATTCATCGTGCAAGCCATTCAAAAGAACCACTGACACAGAAAGGAGTTCCCTGTCCTTTCCTGTATAATTTAAATACTTCATCATCATTTGTAAGCAGTGATATTAGCCTCAAAGGCAGCTTGGGAAATGGGTGAAATAATATGCCTCCAAAACGTCCAGAGTGTGGGCTCTGTCAACTGGAACCCGTGGTCTCTAACACAGGTCACCACAGGACAGAGACACCCGCTCGAGAAGCCCAGCCACAGACGGAAAACAAAATAAGTGGAAAACAATCCTGGGGGGAGGGGGAAGCTTCTAGAGAAGAGCCCGAGCCTTAAACCCACAGTCGGGGCCTCCTGCCAAGAGCCCCTTTCACAGGCTGCCTCACAACAACCTCACTTGAAGGCGGGCCTTGGAAGGAAAGTCACTGTTTCACAGATATTTCCCACAGCTTCCCTTTAAAACAGTATCCTTCAGGGCCTGGCCCGGTGACATGCTGGTTAAGTTCACTCCACTTCAGCGGCCCAGGGTTCGTGGGTTCAGATCCTGGGCATAGACCTACACACTGCTCATCAAACCATGCTGTGGCAGGTGTCCTACATACAAAGTAGAGGCAGATTGGCACAGATGCTAGCTCAGGGCCAATCTTCCTCAGCAAAAACAAACCAACCAAAAAAATATTCTCCTTCGACACTGCGGGACATGCTGCTGTTACCACCTTATGGGGCCCTGGCCTCAACGTGGCAGGGCCAATAACCTTCTCTGTGTACTTGGCCGAGTTCAGCTCCGTCTGCCTTTCACCAAAGGAGTTCACTGCCAGGTGAGAGGGGGCCACATCTGGCAATCGGTTCAGGGAAAGACAGGCAACAGTACAGATGCCTACGTCCCTGACAGCACAGCTGACCGCTGATCACCCGCCTCACACCGCTTTCACCAGTCGAGCCTCGATCTGTCGCTCCTCCCAGAAGGCACCCCAGGAGTGTGGATTCAGCTGGAGACTCGGTTCCACCCGAGTAAGCTGCTCACCTGAGCCCCTCAATTCTGACGTTGTCCGTTCACGTCACAGTTGCTCTCCCTGGGTCGGGTGGCGTGGCCACCCTGCCTCCCACGTCCGTTTCACTCTCATTGGCTGGGAGCTGCTCTCACCTGGCGGCCTGACCTCGCGAAGCCTCTTTCTCAGGATCATCAGCCTGGAAACTCACGCGCTTCCTCCCATAGGTGAACGACGGCTCGACCCCACTGGACCTCAGGCCAGACGGACCTGCCTGTCCAGCCCTACTCGGTGGAGCTCTCCTCGGCCCTGAAGGCCCTCAGGATGTGCCCTCACTCGTGCAATGACGCCT